CCCATTATAAATTCTGATGTATGGTGAGAAAAGTGTCTGATGAAAGACAAGCTCTTGTCAGCTGCAAAAGCTATTCTTAGGTAAAAATGGAAAAATAAGATTTAAAATATTTTGCATCAGGTCCATCATGGTTTCTTCATATAATTTACTACACTGCATTTCTCTTAAAATTCGGAACTTTCTGAAGCCTAAACTGGGAACAAACACACACACTCACTCCAACTCAAGCCTCTGGACCTTCTTTAGGGACTCTATAGTCTTTTTGCATTATGCATTCAAAGTATTCAAGCTTTAGCTTAATGATACAAGTAGTCTAAATGAGGGAAAAGCTAGTTTTGCAAGGCTGTTTACATATTGAATATTTTGAATATGCCATGTGTTTGAAACAGATAAAAAAACCTCTTTTTTGGGGGGGGACCCTAAAATAAAGTTAAAATATTAAAGGCTGATACTGCCCACTTTACAGTGATTGTAAGGAGTTTACGAGAACATTGGGCCTGTTTTGGCACAGCAGGACTTGCATAGTCAGTTTCAAATATGCCCAGGGGATTCTTAATGCAGTTCATTGAAACAAACTGGAAATGTATCATCCAAACATAGTCACTGATACACCAATGAGACAGAAAAAAAATGAATTACACTAGCATATTATGATACTGTAAATGTTGCTCCTTGAAAGGGGAAAAGGAAAGAAAGATAATAATGCTTTGCTCTAGTACCAACCTTGACAGCAGTTGAGTACAGTTGAGAAAATACTGGTTGTTAATATGCAGTTGAAAATGGTGGTTTGATTTCAGGAAAGTTATATATTTAGTCTTTAATTATAGAAAGTTAGATTTATTTCATCTATAATATAAATAGCTTGCACAGTCCATTCTACATTTGACCATTTTACAAAATGCTTCCTCAAATTATACTATATAGTGGATCTCTTTCTAAACTGAAATCCTAGAACATAAATATGCAAAAATTGAAATGACAGAGTCCCAGACTCTTGTACTACATAATTACATAATCTGGGTTTAGATCCATTATTTTGATTATTTTGTAGCTTCCCCATCTCCAAAGAATAACTGTAAGAATATATATAGAGAGGTCCATGGCTTTATAGCTGCCCTCCCCAATGTGGCTATGGTATAATCCCAAATAATAAACCTCTTGTAACAGCTTATTGCATCAGTTTTTCATACTTGGAGATAATCTTGTTAAAGGCCCCACTGCCAGTGGGATGTGCCCTTTTGTCTTAAACATTCCACTGTCTATAAAAGCAGTAGTAAAACCCTGCAACTTTGGGGCAGTGATTTTTAAGGCAGAAGGAACCCTCATTATTTGGACTTTTACTGGTAGTTATTGATACAATTGTAAGAATTTGAATTTGCAGATTTAAATTCCTTTTTTTTAAAAAAAACCAAGCTTTAAAAAGTAATATGTTTCTCCCATACCAAATAATATAATCAGTCTCTTAAGTAGAGTGAACCTGCAGTGCTTGGCTCCTATTTGTTTGCCAACAGAGCAAATTCCTAATATTACAGAATCTTAAATTCTTGTTTCCTTTAGTAATGTGCTCAGTAAACGGTAGTAAGAACTGCATTATAGATATTGCACTATTTTATGAGCAATTGAACAGTCATTATGTTTCTCCATTAATTTTAAATTTTTATTTCCTGTTTCTAATTCTGTGTCCTAGTGTTGTTTGTTGGTTGTTTTTAACTATATAATCTGGTATCCCCCAAACAGAGAAGTACAAAATGATAGTTAAAGATATCAAGCCAGGTACAAAATGGTGGCCAAAAGATTGAAATAATTCTTTTAATAAAATTGAATATTTTATAAATGTGATATTAAATTTTATGAAATAAGTATTTCTATCTTTTGTTCATGTTCACAACTCCCAAGTTTCTGATCTAAAATTATTAATTGCATTTTAGTTAGTTAGTTAGTTTGTTCGTTTTTGCATTATCTTGTTGCATTATCTTTTTGCATCATCATTATCTTAGCTTCCTTTGAATCATTGTTCTGTAGTCTAAGTATACTGGTTGGCTCCTTTTTGCACCAGCTCCAGTTGGAATTATTTTTCTTTGAAAATGGGTGACCAGAACTGCACTCCTGATGAGCTCTTGTGAGAACCTATACAAAAATATGAATGCTTCCCAAAGCTTCCTGAAATTATCAAATCTCACCAGGCTCAAGGTTAACTCAGCCTTCCATCCTTCCGAGGTAGGTAAAATGAGGACCCAGTTTGTGGGGGCAATAAGCTGACTTTGTATAAAAAAGAACACTGCTTAGGAGGGGCCAAAAGCCCTACTAAGCAGGTATATACAAAAGTATGAAGACTATTGCTTAATGCATTGTAAGCATCCTGTATCTCCAGAGAAGGGCGGCATATAAATCGAACCAATCAAAAATAAATAAATAAATAAATAAATAAATTGCTCCACTTAGGTAACCAAGAATGACATCTCCATACTTGGCAGCTACATGACGCTGTTTACTCATAGTCACTGTTTGCCTGAGCAAAATTCAGTTCTTTCTTCATTTATTATTTTCATATGACCAGTTCTTTGCTAATCATTTAAAATGTGGTATTTCCAGAACATGTGGTTTTCTTCCCATTTCTTTCATTCTGCTTGATGAAATCATCCACTCACCTTCCTTATCCTAAATCCGGAGGGAAAGAAAAACCTATAATTTCCTGTCTTCCAGGTTTCATTATATTTCATCAATAAAGTATTAGTCAAATAGGTCCCAAGACTAGTTCTTTGGGAACTCCTTTGGGGACATACATCTGCAGCTGGACTTTTCTTATACTGTACTATGTAGCTCCTTTGTTGCTATTTTAAGTTGTTTCTTATTTATGTTGATCTGATTTCTTTCTGATGTGATAGAAAACACATACAGGTAAGGTAGTTGAGAACGTTGAAAGTTGAAGTTCAAGACATATTCTGAAACAAACTGGAGATATATTTGTGAGAATAAACTAATCTACAAAAATTTTATTGGTGTAAATGAGTCTATTCCTGAACATATCCATCTTGAAAAAGTATTGTTCAGGAGAAGAAAACATGTTAGGGTTCAATCCTTTATAAACTCAGATAAAGTTAATAGAAATTGTAAGAGCATATAACTTTGCAGTTATAAATGCAAGAATCTTTTAGGAATATGCTATTTTATTTGTTTTTCAAAACCGGAGTAAATGTCCAAAGATCATTTACATAAAGATCCCCATGTTACCGCACCAAAGTTTTACATATTTTTAGCACAACATAAGCTATTTTAGCCATTGTGTCTATAATAGCCAATATTTACTAATTTGTCTGTAATTACCAATACAGTAAATGTGATCTCTGATATTTTCAGATCTATCCTATTGAGCCAGTATGCCCCAATTTACTTGGAATGTTTAAGTACAACCTAGATTTTGTTTTTTCCTCCCAGTGTGATGTATTATAATGTATTGTGCCTGGACTGTGCTGGGATGAAAGTAATTTGGAAAACTTTGTTTTTCATGTCCATCATGAGGCGGTTGGTTACACTTAACTACCTCACATGTATCCCTTCTCTATTTATAGTTATTCCACATATAGCCAGTGATTCTCCTACCCCAGAGGTGCGGGCATGGCTTACCTGGGTGTAGGTCCAGTTAATATGAGTCACCCATATCAAGCTGGCAGTACTAGCAGAGGATCCTTTCTTTGAAATGACACAGCAGAGTTGGGGGAGGGGTGTGGCTTTGTGCCCAACTGGTTGGGTGAGGGTGCCCACTTTCATCACATATGACTAATCTGCTTGGTCAGTGCAATCCAGCAGCCCCTCCTATGGCCCTATTCTGCAGCCTCTGCCTCCACCCCTGTTATTTCGGTCTGTGACTCTTATCCATACCCCTTCCAGAAGTACTAGGTTGGAAACACATTGATGAGGAGCTCTGAAAAAGCTTCCAATTGGAAGGGGTATGATTTCATCTTCATGCTAAAGCTCACATCTAGATAACCCATAGGAATGGCAATACTGTCTCAGAAAGACTTGTATTATGATTGAGCTATTTCCAAAGCAGTCTGAGTCCCTTGTTGTTGTGACCCCGACTCCCGAGCCTGTCCTAACAGAGGAAGAGGACTCAGAAGGTGATGGGGAGGAACTGACAAGGCTTCCCTCTCCAGGACCCTCCTTTCTGGCAATGCCTCAGGTTCCATCCGAAGGCCAGGAGGAACAGCCTGGGATGTGCCAGGAGGAAGGCATATCGGAGCACCAATTGATAGGGAGCGAGGGTGATGAATCCTGGCTTGATCCCAGGCAGCGTCGGAGGGAGAAGAGTGCGCAGCAACAGAAGAGGTGTGGGAGGGCCAGAGATTGAGCTGAGTCACGGAGCCACGCCCCACCAGGAATAAAAGTGGGTGGGATTGCTCTTCAGGCTTTGTGACGGACAAAGTTAAACCCTAAAAGTCACATCGTGATCTCTGAAATTCGGCTTGGATGTGTTTTGGACTGAACATTGACTAAACTCTTGTCTCGTGGATAATTTGTTGCTCCTGGAACGGACTAAAGATAAGTCCTCTTCTGCTTTATGGGAGTGAAAACGGTCTTGGCAAGCATTCGGCAGTTTGCTGCCAAAACCTTGGTCTGCCAAGAATTCTAATCTGTTTATCTAATAAAATATTGGCAGGCATGCTTGGTATTATGTTTGCCTGTGTGAGGAAGGGGGACAGAACACTTGTGGGTCAGATTCCTGGTCAATCTTTCAGTTTCTGTTCACTGCAGAGGTGGTGCTAATGCTTCTATGAACGACTCTCCCAGCATGGGCAGTAGGTCAGCTTTTGTGATATTGCTTCAAAGTCCTAAGATTTGACATCCTAATTACACCTCAGAATCCAATCTGTCCATGCCCACTTTACTAATAAAAGTAATTATGCTGCTATTCTTCCATGTCAGCCTTCTAGATTTGTTTGGACTTTTGTTCCAAGTTGTAGACTCACTGCTGGTGTTTGTCTTCCTTTCTGAATGCACAGGTTTCCACCTGAGTGGTATTGTGACAGAACCACCCGGCCCCAGTGAGCCAGAGCACAGCTATCATGTCTCCATCAGTTTTGACCGCTGCAAAATCACATCGGTTAGCTGTGCCTGTGACAATCGGGACATCTTCTATTGTGCTCATGTGGTGGCTCTGTCCCTGCATCGCATCCGGCATGCCCACCAGGTGGAGCTGCGCCTGCCTATCTCAGAGACGTTGTCCCAAATGAACCGGGATCAGCTACAGAAGTTTGTGCAGTACCTGATCAGCGCCCACCACACAGAAGTGCTGCCGACAGCTCAAAGGCTTGCTGATGAGATACTGCTGCTGGGCTCTGAGATCAACCGAGTGCATGGTATGACGTTGGGCTGGCCTTGGATCCTGGGGAGAGGCAGAGGATGGCTGTAGGTTGGGGCTCTAGCAGCCAGTCTTGGTTATTTGTCCCCAACCCAGCATGAAAGACTGCATGAAAAAACAGGAGGAAAGAACTCAAAAGACTTCCTAATTGACAACTGAAAAAAGCCCCACGTCTCATTCATAATTCCAATCAATCCTAGTCAAAGCCAGCTGGAAATTCCAGAATGTGTCTAGATCTCAGTATACTGGGAGGGCATTAGGTTGCAGAAGCAATAAAATGTCTTAGTTATAAACAGAAACTAATTTTTCATTATGTAACAATACCATATTGCCATTAGTAGAATAGTGGGATACAAAATCAGCATGCCATCACATTCTAGTACCATAAGGTCATTAATCAGATAATTCAAGGTAGCAAATGTATCTGATATTCCTTCCTCCTATTTTTCCCACAATAATCCCGTGAGGGGATTAGGCTAAGAGTGAGTGACTGGCCTAACCAGTCACCCAGCTGGCTTTCATGTCTAAGGTGGGACTAGGAGTCTCCTGGTTTCTAGGCTGGTGCCTTAACTACTAAACCAAACTGACTCCATTAGCTCTTATCATTCCGTCTCGGAGCTTTTGTAAGTTTGCAAATTCCTACTTTTTATGATAAACAAATTTTACTCAACTGCATAGGTTGTGTATCTTTGATTGATTCCATTTCACCCTTAATAAACTTCTTAAAATGTATATAACTGTCCTTTGAGATAATCATGTACTGGTATTGCAAATACCTTCTCTTAATAATGAAAATTTAAAGATTGATTACTATGCATCCCCTTCTCTGGAAGCATAATAATCATCCATTATTATTATGGGATAGTAATATACATTCATCAGAACTCATGAACAAAATATCTTTTTGTCATTTGTTACAGCTTGACCTTTTTCAGGCTATTCTTAAAGTATAAAACCCATGCTGCTGCCTTAATCTTAGTAAATTGATTCTGTGAAATAGTAGCATCTTTTTGTCAGTTTCCCACAGATGCCTGAAAAATATGCACTTAATGAATAACATGCCAGAAGCATTTCTTTGGAATCATTTTGAAAATACTTGCTATGTGTAATATCTAAGCAGAAATTAGGCCTCGTTAATTTCTACAAAAGTACAATGCCCTCAAAATTAGAAGATTAGTGATATGTAGCATCTAATGCTTTGGCCATCTCCTCCCAGGTGCTCCAGATCCCACAGCTGGTGCTGGCATTGAAGATGCAAACTGTTGGCACTTGGATGAGGAGCAGATCCAAGAACAAGTGAAGCAGCTACTGTCCAATGGGGGTTATTATGGAGCGAGCAAGCAGCTTCAGTCAATGTTCAATAAGGTAAAAACTGACATTCATTTGTTACCCAGCCCATCACTCTTCTATTATTAGAGCTATGTCACTGTTCTTCTCTGCTACCATGGAGCAAGGATCTTTGTGTCTCATTGTGGAGATAACACCACCCTGTCAACAGGAAGATATTTCCACTAGAAGAGCATTTGTGCAAATTGGGGCTTTATCCTTCAGGGGTGATGGGGACGTCCCAAGTTTGAACTATGGTTGGACTGCCTGTAGATGCTGGGTTGAAGTTGCTTGCAGACTTGGAATGAAGAGGCAGCCTGTATTAGGAAATGATCTGAAAATTGTCCATATGCATATTATTAGGTAGTTTAAAATGTAAGGTTTTAAAATACTAAAGTATCTTACCATGCAGCCGGAAAAGGGAAGTCAAGCTCCATTTGTATTTTTTTTTAAAGTAGTTTTTATTGAATATAAATATTAAAAAAGACATACGTAACATATACACAACAAACATTTATACAACATATACACAAAAAGCGTGTAATTTCTTCTTAAGCATTTTTTCAGAGTGACAAAGCTCCATTTGTAGATGGAAGGTGAGATTTCCACAGTGTTTCATCATGACTTTATGGTGGCCTTTTTTAATGTGCTTCCTACAGATCTGTCAGATTATAATTCCTGTCACCTTTGGCAGCATGATTGTGTTTTCTGGAGATGCTAGGAACTTCACATCTGGAAGGCAGCAAATTGGGGGAAGTTGGTTTGCTGTTTTGATAGACCACAAAGTTTGTTTAGGGTTTTTTTTGGAGGTGGGGGTCTCCCTCTCTTCTCCTATTGTCAATTCTGTCTTTCCCCAGGTGCGGGAAATGCTACGAATGCGAGATTCCAATGGGGCACGGATGCTCATCCTGATGACAGAGCAGTTTCTGCAGGATCCACGTCTGGCACTCTGGCGGCAGCAGGGAGCAGGCATGACTGACAAGTGCCGGCAACTCTGGGATGAGCTTGGTAGGTGAAGGGCTTGCCCGAAAGAGTGGATGGCCAAGGCTTTTCATGACATTAGACGAATTCAGTAAGCTGATGCAGAATTGAGATTCTTATTTTAAAATGCAAGTTTGCAGGAGAAGTTTGAAAATACAGATCCTGAAGACAAGAAAAGCTGTTTGCTGCTAAATAGATGATGTTTAATTCACCTGATACCATGTGTTTTTCTTTTCTTGTTTTCTAAGAACGTTACTGATTAATTCTCCAATCCAGTTAAGCTTTCCAGTTGAAAAAAATCCTGCTTCTTCCTTCAGTCTCTTACTGGAAATACTTTCCCCCCTTAATTTTAGATTAGTGGGAAAGTTTCAGGGAGTGACTGAATGATGCTTGAACTCTTGACTTGAGAAATAGCCCTGCCAGGCAGGAAAACTGGAGACAAATGTCAAATTGGATAAACTTTCAGGAGCAGTAACAGGAGGGCAATGGTTTTCATCACATGATTATTAATGGTTGTTTTATCAAGTCTTAAAAACTAATCCACAGAAAAATGCAAGTTTTATAGCCATTTTTTAAAAAAATACGAAATAGTATTCCAGTAGTTCTTACGCCATGAAATCCAAAGCCTATCTTTCTATATCATTATGTGGGATGGAGAAGAAAAAGCATGTCATTTCATAGATCTAAGCCACCATTTTGCCCTGTCCAAGAGGCTGAATTCTAACTTGTCTTTACTTAGAGAAAGAAAGTGTGTGTACAAGAGGGAGAGTGACACACACACAGATTTATATCTGCTTTTACTCCAGGAATTAAGGGTGGCATATATAATCCTCCCTCCTCCTGTTTATCCCATTAAAAATTCTGTAAGATAGGCTGGGCTGAGTGAGAGTGGGTGGAGCCATCCATTGAGCCATTAGATCCAAGAGTGGACTTGAACCAGATTTGCCTGCCCTAATCCAACAGTTTAACTATTATACCACACTATTCTCTCTTTTTTGTTAGCTTTTTGCATCTTTGTTCTGATGACCAGCCTTCTGAATCCTGCTTACTAAATAGTATGCTACTTCTTGCATATATGCTTTTCTTCTATGCTGGAGCTCCTGTAAGGGCTCTCTTCCCTTCCGGAAATTGGCCTGTCAATGGTCTGCTTAGGTTTCACACCACTGTTATTTCATTAGACTTCAGATTGTAACTTTCGCTCTGCATCTGACTTTGTGCTTCCTTTTACATTCCTTCCTTTTTGTTTTTTAGGTGCATTGTGGGTATGTGTGGTTCTGAGCCCACATTGTAAGCTGGAAGAGCGGGCAGTTTGGCTGCAGCTTCTTAAGAAGTGGAATAAACTAGACATTTGTCCATTGGAGGAGGGTAACTACTCCTGTGACAGTGTTGGAACCAATAGCAGCTTGTCATCTAATCCAAATCGCAGCCCAGGTAGGAAACCCACACTAGAGTTCAACACCAGCTCCAACACACTCAGTAGGTAGCTCAGTCAGGGACGTCATCTGCAATAGGGAGATGAAGTTTGCAATGGTCTACCTTATAAGAATGTTGCCTAGATTCTTCATGTACGTAGAATGTTATACAGCTGTTATCTAACCAGTAAACTTGAAGAAAGAGGAATAAAAAAACCTAATGTTTTTCTGAGGGCAAGATTTCATATATTTTTAATATTGAAAGCTAAGTTTTAGTTTTTCTTTTCAAAGTTTTACAAAATCAGATGGCTGGCCACTGGCCCCTCGACCCGCAGAACGGGCGTTCAGGTAAGCCAACGCCCTTTCTAAGGGAGCGAGGGGCCAGTGGTCATGAGAGGGATCTTGCTGGATCGAGTCAGACAGTTGCTGGATCTTGCTGGATCGAGTCAGACAGTTGAGAAGCTCCTCCTCCTCCTGTTGCTGCCTCCCAGCTTTCTGACTCGATCTGCTCTGGATCAGATATACCCAGCCACTTCTCTGCCATTTGGCCTACTTATTACATTATTCAAAATTCAAAATTTTAAAACTAATTGGAGACTTTACTAAACGTTTTGATTAGGATATTGATTGAGGTGCGACCAGCGAGAAGGGCTTCGGTCCGAGCCCGCTGGGGACTACTTGTGGTCAAGCGGGATTGAGGCTCCCTTCAGTTGAGCCTCTCCCCTCTGCAGCGTGAAGGGCTCACGTCCGAGCCCGCTGCAGGAGCCTCCTCTTGTGAGTCGCAGGCTCCTCAACTACCTGTCTGTTTCGCTCCGACAGGCTGCTCTCCTTTCCGGCGAGTCTGGCTTATCTCTGCTCGCCGAAGGCACCTCTCAGTGGCGTGCTTCAAATTACCGCGCTCGCCGCTTGCAGCTTTATTCCAGCGACTCATTCCCTGACTTCGCTGAGCGTGCAACTTCGTCGGCGCTGCGGCGTCTAGGCGATTGCCGAAGTGAAGTGTTCCTGGGGTTTCCCATATGCTTCCCCTCACTTTTTCTACAACCTCTTAAGCAGGGGTGAAATGTAAAATTTGTTACTACTGATTCTGTGGGCGTGGCTTGGTGGTGGTGGGTGTTAATGTGACTGGGTGGGCGTGGCCAACTTTTTTTTTTAAAAAACTTTTCAAAGCATTTTTTCTAATGCTTTGAAAAGCCTCTACCAATCAGGCAACTCAGCTGGGATCGTCAGAGAGGCATTTTAAAAAATACTTCTCTGCCGATCAGGCAACACAGCTGGGAGTTGCCAGAGACTTTTCAAAGCATTTTTTTTACCACCTCTTTGGCCAAGAAGTTGTAGAAAAAAAATGCTTTAAAAAGCCTCTGATGATCCTAGCTGAGCTGTGCGATCATCAGAGGCTTTTTTAAAAAAACTTTTAAAAGCATTTTTTCTTCGGAAGAGGTTGTAGAAAAAATGCTTTTAAAAGTAAAAAGTAAAAACAAACTGGGCATGGTGGGAGGGCACAGGGATTTTTGCTACCAATTCTCTGAACCACCCACTGCCATCGCTACCGGATCAGGCGATCTGGTCCGAACCGGGAGCATTTCACTCCTGCTCTTAAGGTTGTAGAAAAAATGCTTTTAAAAGTAAAAAAAAAAAAAAAAAAGTTGGCCACACCCACCCAGTCACATTAACCCCCCATCTCCCACCAAGCCACACCCACAGAACCGGTAGTAACAAATTTTACATTTCACCACTGGCCCAGAGTTAATGAGAGTCGGGTGGCATATACATTTTAATAAGAATCTTTCTTATTTATTTCTTATTTAATAAGAGTTACTTGACAGTGAGATGAGCAGCACATAAATTTAATTAAGAACATTTATTTTTATTATTTATTATATTCATGCATTTATTAAAATGTAATATATATCTATTAATTATGCTTTTTATTTACTTGTTTTTGTATGTGTGGCTGTTTGTGTATTTTTTTGTTTAAATTTTTTTCTTTGCTTCTGTGTATGGTAAATTGCTTACTTTTTATTTTATATTATTCTACATATACATATTTTAACACTGGACCGATGAATGAAGGTATTTGGGAAACTAAGATTCCATAGTTTTTCCAACCTCTGCTGTGACTTGTTTCTTCCTTGGCAGCCACTGCTCGACAGACAGTCTTTGGGCGTGCCATCAAGGCTGCTGAGCTTCGCTGGGGGGATTGCCACCTGCAGAAGATCTTGAGCAGTGACTGCTACGGTGTCTCTTTGAAGAGCGGTGGTGACAAGCTGGGCTTTGATCCCCAAGGCCATCCACTCTGGCTGGGCGATGCCTTCCCCATGGCCTGCGCACGGGTGGATGCCTTGCGCTCCCACGGCTACCCCCGCGAGGCCTTGCGTCTGGCAGTGGCCGTTGTCAATGCCATGCGCTTGCAGCGACGTCATCAGCTGGACAGCTACAAGCAGCAGAAGAAAGGCAAGACTGGCAGGCAAAGAAAGGGGGTGGGCGGGTAGGAAGGTCAGGTTAACAGCATCTCCAGGGAAAGGTTTTTGGAGCCTAGGGAACCCCATAGCTATCCCTGGGCACGTGTGGGTATCTTATTCCAAGGTCGGGCTTCAAAGGAGAGCACGGGATGTATAGGCATGACTTATTTATATAAAGAAGCAGAGGTCTTTAAATACTGGGAAGAAAGAATGGCTCCTCGTAGTTCAGAGTGATGGGTGATGGATTTTTCTACTTTAGTTTCATACCTTATTCCTCTAGTGATCATGGATGCATTCATGTGGGTTTCCCCCCTCCCCCCCCGCCCCATTGGCTTTCCAGTGTAGAGAATTGTTTTCAGATGCCAGAACCGGAGCTGGTGAAGTCACAGCATGTGGATTGGCTTCTGAAGAATCATTTCTCCCCCTTTTTCTCCTCCTCAGAGCTCCTGCACAAAGGCACAACCAGCATTACCAACTTGGAAGGATGGGTTGGGCACCCTCTGGACCCCATTGGTTGTCTCTGTCGTACCTTTCTGGAGGCCTGTCGAATGGATGATGAGGGGCTTGTCCTGTTTCCAGGTATTGTGGGGTGAACAAGGAGACCCAAGTGCAGTGTTGAAATAGCCAATCCTTCCCTAGAGCTGTGCTCTGTTTATATCGCAGTCCTAGCCTATATATGCCACTCAAATTTGCAGAGACCACAATGGTTTCCTTATTAAGGACTGCTTTCACTTGTGGGAAATGGTTCAGAGCTTACTGGAGTGAGGAAAGATGATTGTTGTATGGAAAAGTGTTAGTGTGCATATTGAGGCGCATCTGTGCAGGAACTTCTTACTTGAATAAGTTCTGGTTCCAGGGAAGAGGATGTCCACACGTAAGGGAAACTGGATTTGTTGCTATTGGTTTCCTGTTCTCCATTCAACTGTCCTGTGTTTTCCCCCTCCAGATTCTCCAGCAGAGCCCAAGAAGGCCCTCTATCAGCACATCCCAGTGCCCTCAAGTCCTGGCGAGTCGTATTATATGCTGGCCCTGGAGGTGGCCCTGCTGGGGTTGGGGCAGCAGCGGTCCATGCCAGAGGGCCTTTATGCACAGGATAAGGTGGTGCGCAGTGAGGAGCAATTAATTGGACTTCTAGATGAGATGGAGCTGGATGAGCGGCTGGTTCCTGTGCTTCGCAAGCAAGCGGCCTTGTTGTTAGATGGTTAGTGAAGTAGGCCGAGATGTATTCTGGAGTGAAATGCCTTGTCTCTAAAGATAGGAAAGGAGGCACTGTTGGAAAAAGAAGAGTTATTTCTTTTTCAAAGGAACTGGATAAAATGACTCAGTAAATAAATTTCCAGAGGTGTGATCCTTTTTCAGATAACTTGAGAATGTTCTGAAATGGACACACAAATTGTATCTGGCTCACTAGAGACAGCATGTTCCAGCTCCCCGTATGCAATAAGAGCGCAGTCTAAGCCATCTCACCTTGGCTTAGTGTTAAAAGCCAAGTCTTCGGAGACTTGAGTCTTCGGAGAAAGGCGGCATACAAGTTGAATGAATGAATGAATGAATGAATGAATGAATGAATGAATGAATGAATTAAAAAAATGGCAAGCTGTGCTTGTATTAAACTTCTGTCTGCAGGGCCTGAACTGCACCTGGTCACTGCAGGGAGATATAAGTGATGTCAGTGGGCCAGGGCCAGATTTTGAAAAGCTGGCAGAAAGAAGAGTTTGGTAGTTGAGGATGTGTTGACTTCTTCCAAAAACCTTCTGCATGAATGGGCTTGTGGGATGCTTTTTCTGTCGGGGTGGGTATATTCACAGAAGGATGGGGAATATTGGTAGGTCAGAACCAATGTCAACAGGTTCATCATCTGCTTAGGGACTATTCCTCACCTTGCCAGATTCCTGTCCTCCTATGGTGCAGGCATTTGCTTGAATGCTTTGAGTTGGGTTGTAGTACTGTCAATGTTCATCATCTACATATCTGTTTCTCCTAGGAGGGCCTTTCAGTGGATTTGGCGAGGTGGTGTTCCGAGAGAGTGTTCCCATGCATACTTTTGCCCGTTACCTTTTCACTGCCATGCTGCCCTATGATCCCGAGTTGGCTTATCGTTTGGCATTGAGAGCCATGAGGTACTCATATCCCCTCCTCTCCTGTTGCCATGCTTTCCTTTTCTCTGCTTTTCTTCCTGCATATTTACCACTTTGCTATGCCTTCCCCCACTATATGCCTTCCTCCTCCAGACTGCTATTTCCAGCTTCTGCTTAATGTTGCAGATCAGCTTGCCTGGCAAAGAATTTCTTCTGTGGGGCTATATCCTGGGTCTGATTCCCATTCCCTTCTCATTAACCGTTCTGTCCATGGATTTGCTTGGATATTATCTTCCTTTTCTGAGGCCTGTTCATTCCATCTGTTGGTTGATTTCTAGAACAGTGACAGCATAACTTGTCTCCGTCCCATTCTCCACAGGCTTCCTGTATTGGAGACAGTGTTGCCAGCCAATGACATCCTACACCAGAATCCCCTGGACTCCATGATGGCCAATCGTTTCCCCCGCTGGTTTACCCTGGGTCACCTAGAGACTCGACAGTGCGAGCTAGCCTCAGCTATGCTTACAGCTGCTAAAGGTAGATCCAGTCCTGGAGGGGAGCAGAAGTCAGTGGTCTAGGGCTCTCAACTTCTTCCCTTCTGAAAGCAGAAGGGCTTGTTCCTCAGAATAGTGAGTTGGAAGACTGTGGCCTGTCTTCAGCTCCAAGTCAGGCGTCTCTCATACTGTGGACTTTTTATTATGACTCCCTGCAGGTGACCCCAACTGGCTGCGCATGGTCCTGGGCTCCATTCAGCAGAATATTCATTCACCAGCCTTGCTGTTTAAACTGGCCCAGGATGCCTGCAAGACCGCCACGCCAGCCAACACTCCTCCAGATACCACCTTGCTTAATATCTCTCTGGAGCTTGGCCTGCAGGTGAGGGTACATCTGAGCAAATTATGCCTCTGATTCTTTGGGAAGGGTTCCCTAGGGCTACTTTGGTGTTGTCCGGGGAAGATGATAGACCAAAACATCTGGAGGACACAAGAGCCTTGGTAGTACAGTGGTCTAAGGCACCCTGTTACTAAGCTGGTTATTAAGACCAGCTGCCTGCAATTACTGCTGGTTTGAATCTCTCCAAGGCTCAAGGTTGACTCAGCCTTCCATCCTTTCTAAGGTAGGTGAAATGAGGACCCAGTTTGTGGGGGCAATAAGTTGACTTTGTATAAATATACAAAAGTATGAAGGTTATTGCTTAACGCATTGTAAGCTGCCCTGAGTCTCCGGAGAAGGGCGGCATATAAATCAAATTAAAAATTTAAAAAAAAAAAAAAAATTTGGGGAAAACTCAGAATCTGTAACAAAAAACATAATCTGTACAACAAACATAATCTGTACAAAAAACATAATCTGTACAAAAAACTTAATCTGTAAATGTTAGAATCTTTTTTGATATGATGTGGTTTGGTAATAGAGCAATATATCACCTCCCAAACACATACAATAAACTAGAGTACAATCTTCTAGTTAATTTTCCTGTTCATGTCTTTTTGAAATAAATTGGAAGAGAATTTCGAGGTGGGTTATCTCTGTGCCTCTTAAAGTCTTTGTTCTTAATGGCTCCTGCCTTATGATTAGTAATGGTTATTGAAAAGAATTCCTGGTAGTTTGCTTTTTGCTGTGTTTTTCCTGGGAATTTCCAGTTCTTCTGTGTTGATGTATTTGCTTGGCACTCAGATGAAGCCCAGTGTTTCAGCATGTCTTCCTCTTGGGAGCAGACATTCCATTTCTTACCAGGCAGTGCATGACATAGCAATTTATTCATTCACTTCTCCTTCCAGATTACACCTCTGTAATCTGCAGCTTGAAGATGTGAAGAGTTCAGTTCCCAACATCAGCTCGCCTCCCCACCCCGCTCCCCCAGCAAGATGGCTGGGGAATTCTGGGAATGAAGTCCACATATCTGCTAACTGCCAAGGTTGAGAAATTCTGAGGAAGTTATTTTATCTGTGGGCCGCCCATAGACACAGATACTGAGCTGCACAAGCAGCAAAATGTTTGGACCCAGAGTGCAGAAGGGACTGGATGGTTATCACTTCACCCATTTTCCACTGCTTCTCCCCAGGTGATGCGCATGACACTCAACACCATGACCTGGCGACGTAGGGAAATGGTTCGTTGGTTGGTCAGCTGTGCCACTGAGATAGGTGAGTAAAAGAGACTACTGGGTGTTTGCTCCTCCTAGATTGTTCTAAGGTTTCCCAGAATTTAGGATGGGTCTGGCTTTTTTCCTGCTTGCCTCCACATGAGTTCCACGCTGGTTTTGCGTTTTCCCTTTGGAATGTGTGAAGTTCTTGGTGGCTAACCCCAGTTTTCCCCCCACTTTCCCTGCTCTTAGGAGTCCAGGCCCTGATGAATATTATGCAGAATTGGTACACGCTCTTCACACCTATCGAGGCTACAACTATTGTGGCGGTGACCGGAACCACACATGCCACACTGCTGAGGCTGAGCCTGAGTACAGGGCAACGGGATGAGCTGTGCAGTTGTGCCCGGACACTGGCGCTGCAATGTGCCATGAAGGACCCACAAAACTGTGCCTTGCCAGCCCTGACACTATGTGAGAAGAACCACGCAGCCTTCGAGGCAGCCTACCAGATTGTGCTAGATTCTGCAGCCTCAGCTGGTATGGGCCACTCCCACCTGTTCACCATAGCCCGGTATATGGAGCACCGTGGGCTGCCTGTTCGTGCCTACAAGCTGGCTACCCTGGCCTTCTCGCACCTCAACATTGCTTTCAACCAGGACACCCATCCAGCGCTCAACGATGTCCTGTGGGCCTGCTCCCTTAGCCAGTCCCTGGGGAAGAACGAGTTGGCCGCCATCGTCCCACTGGTCATCAAGAGCGTGCAGTGTGCACCCATGCTCTCTGACATCTTGCACCGTTGGAGCCTTCCTCCCCCAGGTCTTGCTTCAATGGGCGGAGGGCGCCGTGGGGCAGGCAGCACGGGTACTGGTGGGAAGCTCTTTGCCATGGACAAGGCCCCACTCTGCCAGCTGCTGGAGGCCGCTATGGCTGCTTACATCAGCACCACCCATTCACGCCTCACCCACATCAGTCCACGGCACTATGGTGAATTCATTGAGTTCTTGGGGAAAGCCCGTGAAACTTTCCTGATGGCACACGAAGGGCACCTACGCTTTAGCCAGTTCCTTGACAACCTCAAACAAACTTACAAGGGCAAGAAGAAACTTATGTTGCTTGTACGGGAACGGTTTGGCTAGGGGGCGCTTTGAGAAAACATGCTTTGACTAAGGGGGAGCAATCAGAGGGACATTTCTCCCCCTTGATCAGAAGCACTTTGGCTTGGAGGGTGGGGCAGAAAGATCAGTTTTCCTTGGGGCACAAGTGTTCTGAACCTGTGGCCAGGCAGAGTCTGAGTTTGCTGCCTACACTCAGGAACTCTTTGTCTGTGAGCACTCTCCTCCCATCCCCAGAAGGAGACCTGAGCAGATGGGGCTGGGCTTCAGGCTGGAGCCTCAGAAGTGAGGGAGGGAGGGGGGGGGGTCTGCGTCTCTGGTGCTGGGCACAGACTCTTGTGAAAAGGTCTCTCTAGTTCTTTCACTGGCCCTGTCAGTAGTGCAGGAAGGATCTGAGCCTGAACTTGTTATAAGATTGCCGATTTCAGTATTAACTTGTAGGAAGGTAGGAGTAATTCCCCGCCTTGGTTGTTGAAGGCTCTGGACTTAGTATGGTCTTGCAGATGGTGGGCATGAAAGACCCGCGAAATTTCATAGCTGCTGTTCTGATCTTATATTTCAAATGCAGTAATGGTGGAGGTTTGACTTAGGTGTGCAAATTAGAGGGAGATAGATAGGATCGTACCTCCTGTTTTCTAGTTAAAATTCCAAAAGCTTTCTCTCTTCTCTCTCTCTCCTCTATGGTCCCACACCTCTGTGCACCTGAAGGAATCACCTCTGCTTGTTTAGAAGCTGGGAGCCTAGAATAGCTTGCTAGAACTGGGATGTTACCTAAGGCCCCCGATGCCTTTTTTGCACCCCTAGCATTCAAGCAGCTGGTACAAAATCCCTCGTGTCTAAATTTCCTCAGACAAGACTAGTGAGCTGATATTATTTCCTGCTGGGAGAATCAGCAGCAGAGTTAATATTAGATGGCTTGCACAAACGGGATACATTCTAAGGTTTACCTGGTTGGGTTCTACAAAGGAGGTAGATAGACTAGATGTGCTCAGCCAGGGACCTCTCTTTTTTTTTTCATGGAATGGTAGCTTTGGACGAGACCAGAAGAGCAGCAGTCTTCAGCAGGAACTTGGTTGCACATTACATTCCTCCCCTTCCTCCAAACCGTCATGTTAATCCACATAATGGTAACCATAATCTATCACTCCAGAGGAGTGACTTAAGTCACTCACTTTTCTGTTCTGACTGTACAGACAGAGACCATTCCACTCTCCCAAATTGTGTCAGACATGTCTCCTGAACACTCTTGCATCCTCTCACAAATCTGTCAGTATTTCAGCTTTCTCTCAACTGTGCTCAGGGGTCACAGACTGGCTCCAGACCCTGGCTTGCACTGGGGGGAGGGGAACCCAGGACATTCAAAGGGGCTAGTGTCCTATTCTGTAGCTGTCCCTCTTTAGCTTTGTTTCCAGTTAATGCCCCTCAGACTCCTACAACTGAAGGATTCCTATTCTGTCTTCTCCAGCAACCTATTCCTCTGGAGTTGCTGGTAGATAAGGCAGTTGATACCTCAAAACCTCTCCCTTCTTTTGGGCCAAGACAGTGGGACATATAGGCATTTTGCCACTCTGAGTAACTCTACCAGGCAATCCAAGAAGTGCATCTTCTGTATCCCTTGGAAGCTCTGAGGATCTTGTGGTTGCATCTTTTGGATTGTTACCTGCATATTGGCAGCCTTGAAATGTTGCTGCTTTAGGCAACTGGTTGGGCTGCCAATGCAGTTGGCCCGCCTCTTCACAAATGACTGATGTTCCCCACGGAGCGGTGGTGGTGGTGGTGGTGGGGGGGAGTTCTAAGTGGCCACTAGCAGGGTGCTCCATTCTTCCACAAACATCCTGCTCCAAAATCCCACTTGTTTTCTGCTGGATAAAACCTACTCAGGAACAAACCACAACAAACTCATGCTACTAATTAGATTATTGTGAAGACAAGATTATGTTTAAAAAGTTAATATATATATAACTATATATATATATATATCTTATATGAAGAGGCAAGGGGTCCAGGCGGCTCTCCTTTCTGTGCGCGTGGGGCTGTGTCCTGTGCTCAGCACCTCTCAGTCCTTAGTGTTGGTGGAGATGTTGGTGTGTTGCACAGCTCCACTTTGGAGCCAGCTAGTCAGTTAGTTGAAAAAGGGGGGTGGGGCGGGAGGTTATTTCTTTGTTTTTCTGTATTAAAAAAAATCCTGTAATTTTGTAATTTTTTTCTATTTATTGAATCATTTATTGTATTATTTTGTAAAGGTTTAACATAAACGGCAACTTTTTTTTTCTTTTGGCTTCTCTTTTGAACATACAGTGTGGTCTTTGTTTCTGGTTTTTTTTTTTTTTCTTTTCAGAGGGCACAGGAAAGTCTGCTCATCTAAGTCAGCCCCGTGTGTAATTTCTTCAGCCTAGCAAATGGGCAGAGAAAACACAGGCTGGATACATTCATGGGGTTATGCAATAACTCTTGATTGAAAATCCAAGATTAATCAGTATATATTTGAGATAAAGTAGTTTTTTCCTCTGAGAGAAATGTGTACAATATCTAAATACCATGCAGCCTTTCCTTATTAATGGTACTGCAGATTTAATGTGGAACCACTGGAACAGAATAAGTTTTAATAATTTATTTAATAACAGCTATTGATGGATCACTGCCATGATCATAGAGGGGGGAACCTGCCTTTGTGACTCTTGGGCAGCAGCAAGGGCAATGGTACCTCACAGAAGGCCACTGCCATTTTTATTTGTCACAATATCTCTGAAAATATTGGTTCAGGTCATTGAAAAAATTAGAAGGTCCATCAAATTGTTTCCAATCACCATCCAGGAAGCCCACTTGGGACAGGTGACCATAGGAGAAACCAAGCAGAAGCTACTTTGCCAAGGGTCTCTTACAGCTGCCCTGTCGGTTGGATCATGGATTAGTTGTACCATGATGTCTTCTCTGTTAAGTCTCCCCACCAGACCTAGCACAGATTGGTTTCATCAGCTAAGTAACTGCCTACCTCAAGATTTTTGGCTCCTTTGGAAATGGGTTGGGGTGAGGTCTCTGTCAATTCTGCGACAATGTCCTGAAACGACAAACTCTTTGTTTCTAATAATACTCTTGAGTGAAACTCAACAATTCAAGTTTGGGTATTTACTTCCAAGTTACATGGTCCTTAGTCACAGTGGTATAGCAGGTAATGATTAGCACCCAGGTTTAATTATTAGGTGGACCGGGAGCTGCTTGGGCAGAGAAAACAAGCAGTTGGACAAGAATGAATCAGCTATTTTAAATTAATCAAAACATTACTTTAAAATAATTTTAAATGGTTTTTAGGATGCTTCAAAGGCTGCCTAAATGCATTGGTACTATCTAATAATAATAATTTCCTAAACAGTAATGTGTGTATGTGATGGGCTGCTCTACCCAATATACTTTCAATTGAAAAAATCAATTTACTATTTTAAATCAAAGAAAAAAGTAATAACATCTCCCAGAGTATGATACAATAAAAACAAGCAAAAACTAGAAACAGTTAAAATTAAATGAAAGCAGAGATGTCAATATGCAAGAGGATATTGTATTCATGGTCACAGTAAAATCAACACTTAAACTTATAACTCTGGTATCTCTGCCCCCTAACTTTACGAGTAAGATTTGTAATCAAACAATCCTACCATCTAATTTTACTACCATTTTCAACTTCTCACAACTGCTTCTATTGATTGGCTTGTTTTATTTATTAAATATGTAAATCTTAAACTCAAAAGAATTGAGCTGGAGTGAGAACGGGGAAGAGAATTCCATTATCAAACTAAAAAGTTCCCGAAGAAATTAAATCAATAATGTTTGGGCTTGTGCGATGTTAAGAGACGACTCCTGTTCCCTTGCCATTGCTAAGAATATTAAAAAGTCTGGTTTTGTGAATTGACATTCACTTTAACATTCTGTGCGCCTTTGGCGTTTAGTTATGCCGGCCACATGACCACCGAGACGTCTTTGGACAGCGCTGGCTCTTCGGCTTTGAAACGGAGATGAGCACCGCCCCCTAGAGTTGGGAACAACTAGCACATATGTGCGAGGGGAACCTTTTATCTTTACCTTAGCTTCTTTCAGATGGAGAACTAACCTTTTCCATCTATTCTGCAGGTCTTCCTTTTTTCCGTCAACAGATTTTTTTTAGCTTTTGAAAGAGACGAGTAAAAGGGTTGTGAATTAAAGATGATAAGGATCTGGGGTCTCCAACCTTGGCAACTTTAAGACTTGTGGACTTCAATAAGCAAAGCTGGCTGAGGAATTCTGGGAGTTGAAGTCCAGAAATCTTAAAAGTTGCCAAGATTGGAGACCCCTGATATGGATTACTTTCTAGTAAGGCTTATTTAACACAATAATCTTGTCTCCTTCATGGTGTTATTAGACGTCTTGACTGCCAGTGCCCCTGCTCCATCTACCACCATATTCATCATTTCTCAGCCTTTTGGTTAAGATTCTGGTCACCTTTTTGACGTGGCTTCTTCCGCTCTTACAGCACGCACAAAGTGTTAATGTGGAGAAAATGGAACAGTAGCGAAAGGCAATTATAAAAGTGAGATGTTTAAATCAAGCAGGTTTGCCTACATTTCTTGTTCCTTTTCTTGGATTTATCCACCCAAATTACCATCCAAACTTAGTTTACAAACACAAATCTAATGCTGATTTCATTCCAAAGACATACTGTATATGGTTGTTCCTGGAAAACAGGTTGAAGGAAAACAAGCCAATGTCTTGGTGTTTCCTTCCATTGAACCAAACCTGTCAAGTATCTCTTAAGGCTGAACACTTAAGAGTCTTAGACAAATCAGGCCATGTTCTTCTCCTATCTGCCATTATCTGCAGCCCAAATGAAGTATCAGGTTCCTGCAGCCTTCATGATTCCATGATGGTACTGTTTCTTAGTCCACCAAGAAAGATGTCTGGGGCTGAAGGACAGAGAATTGTGTATACTATATGGAAGATGAGTGAGCACAGTATGTGAGATGAGTATATTTACTGCAAATTTCTGATGCTTTGGGGCAGGGTTTTTCCAAATGGTGAACCTTGGAACTGTGACAGGCTTCTGTGAAGCACTAAAGATACAATTAAAAATGTTCATTCAAGGTCAGCCAATTTCCTAAAATTGAGCTTTTTCTCTCTATCAGAGATTCTATAATTTTTTTTAACTAAAACAGATTTTACAGTCTGAAAAGTTTGAAAATCCTTGCTTTAAGTTATATGAGAAAAGTTGCTTTGGACAAAAATGTATTGCAGAATCACCATTCTCTGATTTTTGGTATAGGGATCACATATTATTGCCATCTGTTTATAAGCTTCCTAGTGTTGCTTTTTCTCCCCCCCCCCCCCCCCCCCGAGATAACTGAGATAACTTTGGTCAGAAAGCACTATAGATAGTCCTTGACTTATAACACTTCGTTTAGTGACCATTTGAAGTTACACAGTACAACAGTATTGAAGTTGCAGTATCCCCATGGCCACATGATCAAAATTTGAACACTTGGCAACTGATTCTTATTTATGACGGTTGCAGTGTCCTGGGGTCATGTGATCACTTTTTATGATCTTCTAACAAGCAAAGTCAATGGGAAAGCCAGATTCACTTAACAACGCTGTTACTAACATAATAAATGCAGTGATTCACTTAAGTGTGGCAAGAAAGGTTGTAAAATGGAACAAAACTCACTTAACAATTCTCATTTAGCAACAAATTTTGAGCTCAGTTGTGATCATAAATTGAAGACTACTTGGATGTAGCTATTCTATTTTCTTTCAACTATGAAAGCCACAGTTAATAGTAAATAAAAGCTTGATTTAAAAGCACCATTTTTGGAGAAGGTTACAAATTTAGAAAATTTTTACAACTGCTATTAATATAATTCATGTTTTGGCAAGAGGCTTTGACCAATCAGTGCAGCTTAATCCAGTGTCAGTATATCTCTTTGAGCAGCCCGTTTTTTTCTTCAAAAACAGACCTGGGCAATTAAGGTATTTTGAAGTTTAAAACAGAGAAAATAAAAATGATACAGTTGACAAAACTCCCATTAAGTATGCCATATTGTGCTGTCTCTATGACACAGAATATACAGTTTTTTGAGTGATGACGTGTATTTAGGAAAGGTTATTGGAGCAAAATCAACAATGAATGCCCAGTCAACAGAAACTAACACACCCTGATGATGAAAATTAAATGCAACAACTTCCTGCAAGTTTCACTACATACTTACTATTTTTGTGCCACTGTTTACAAGTTCAAATATGACATCAATGAATATGGCAAGTGCTGATGTTAGGACACCCTTTTACTCAGTACCTTGTAATGCCTCCTCTGGCAAAAGTAAGGGTATCAAACATTTCCTGTAATCCTACTTAAAAACCGGTTCTGTTTGTGGGTTTTCTTCCCATTCTTCCGTGCAGCTGAATTTTCTTCATATTCACTGTTTATGTTTTATTTTGAATCTGCAAACCAACTGCACATAGGTACCCATTCAAATCTGATGAAAAGTAAGGGGATTAATGCTGAGTTATGGAGAGGTTTTGTTCTATTCAGTTACGGAATCACTGAAAAACATACCGTAATTTGACTGGGGAGAGGTAAAAGGCAAAGGTTCCCCTCACACATATGTACTAGTCGTTCCCGACTCTAGGTGGTGCTCATCTCCGTTTCAAAGCTGAAGAGCCAATACTGTCTGAAGACGTCTCCATGGTCATGTGGCCAGCATGACTAAACACCAAAGGCGCACGGAATGCTGTTACCTTCCCACCAAAGGTGGTCCCTATTTTTCTACTTGCATTTTTTACATGCCGACAAGCTCAGCATCTTAGCCACTGAGCCACCGTGTCCCTTGGGGAGAGGTAGAGTGAGGGATAAACGTCTGCATACAATTATATATTTTGAGAGCTGGAAACGTTGATTAAAATCCCAAGTTATTTAGTTCATCTCTCCTGCGTAGTACGTGCATTTTCATTCCAAATTATTTCTAAATTTTTTAAACAAAGAAACACCTTTTAGGCAAAACTTTTGTTCTCTCATGCTGTTTCCTTTTGAGATTTATACCTAATCAACAGGAAATTGGTTAGGTATAAAGAAGTGAAGTCAGCAGGTGAGTCTGGATGCTAGATACTCTGACACCACAGGTGAATCATTCTCTGATTGGCCAACTCAGGGTTGCCTGTAGCTTGTGGTTCCATTTGGAAATATTTGCATGGCTGTATCTTCCCCAAAGGCAGTTCTGTTTGGATGATACATACAACAATTCCCTGAACTTGGGTGGGAAAAAAAAAAGGATTGTCCTGGTAAGATCAGGTCATGTAGAAAAGAAAAGCTACAGTTTCCCATCAGGATAAAAAAAACAACACTGGTATTTCTACAAGTCTTCATATTCCAATGAAAACCTTTACATAGTGTGGTCTGACAAATCTTCCCGCAGTGAGCAAGATCGATTCCCCATGCTGACTATCAAATGATGTGGCTGTGAGGATCCTCTACAGGCCGGCCTTAATGCAGAAGCACAAGGCCACCTGGGAAATAGATTATTCAATTCCTTACAACACCACTGAAGAAGTCTGAGCATGGTTTTAGCAGATGTGTGAAAGAAAATGTCCTGAAAATGTTCAAAACTTCTTCTGGGCTGGAAATTCAATTTGTGTCTGTCCGTCCCCCACATGCCCATTTGAAGGCTGCACAATCAGGTTCCCTATTGTAGAGTCACCTACAGGCCAGGGGTGAAATGCTCCCGGTTCGGACCGGATCACCCGATCCTGTAGCGATGGCGGCGGGTGGTTCAGAGAACCGGTAGCAAAAATCCCTGCGTTCCCCCCCCCCATGCCCAACTGAGCCGCACCATCATCAGAGGCTTTTTTTTTTTTTACTTTTAAAAGCATTTTTTCTACAACTTCTTCGGCCGAAAAAATGCTTTTAAAAGTTTTTTTTTTTTTTTAATTTTGATTTATATGCCGCCCTGAGTCTCCGGAGAAGGGCGGCATACAATGCGCTAAGCAATAGCCTTCATTCTTTTGTATATTTATACAAAGTCAGCTTATTGCCCCCACAACTGGGTCCTCAATTTACCTACCTTAGAAAGGATGGAAGGCTGAGTCAACCTTGAGCCTTGGCGAGATTCGAACCTGCAGTAATTGCAGGCAGCTGGTCTTAATAACCAGCTTAATAACAGGGTGCCTTAGACCACTGTACTACCAAGGCTCTTTTAAAAAAAGCCTCTGATGATCGCACGGCTCAGCTGGGATCATCAGAGGCTTTTCAAAGCATTTTTTTTCTGCAACCTCTTCAGCCAAAGAGCTGGTTTAAAAAATGCTTTGAAAAGCCTCTGACGATCCCAGCTGAGTTGCCTGATTGGCAGAGGCTTTTCAAAGCATTTTTTTGCAACCTCTTCGGCAGAAGAGGTTGTAGAAAAAAATGCTTTGAAAAGTTAAAAAAAAAAAAAGTTGGCCACGCCCACCCAGTCACATTACCCCACCACCACACTCCACCCCACTGAAGCCACACTCACAGAACCGGTAGTAACAATTTTTACATTTCACCCCTGCTGCAGGCATATGAAAACTGGTTTGTTCCAAATACGTGAGGGTTGTGGGGAGCACATGGGAACACATATGATGAGACAGGGACATCTTACATCCTTTTTTCACTTTTATGCTTTTTGCAATTGGGCAAAACCTGTACAGCACTAGAAGCTTTCTAAACGGTTTGAGACTGCCATGCCACAAGCCTTGCCTTCTAACCACTTTCTCCCTGAAAACAGTCTCCTCATTGCCCAGCAGAGATTGATCCTTGACTAGGTAAAGTAAAATATTGTTTCCCCGAATGGGGTCCACTATAGGACTGGGATCCCAGCGTATTCCAGTTCTCAGATTATGGAAAAGCATAATTCAGTTCTGGCAAAGGTGGTTTTGCTCATTTCAGATCTTTCCCATTTGTTTGATGAAAAATCTCATGTTCCTGTCTTCTCCACCAACTTTGAAAATAGAATGTCTGACAAAGGAAAACATAAAGGGCATTTTCATGTATTAGGCCTAATTTAATTTATTTGATAGTATTTTGAAGCTGCCCAACAAAAGTACTCTTTTTAAAACAATATCTAAAGAAACATTTTCAAATCTCATTTGTCCTGTCTCTTGAACTGCCTGAAGCATAGTACCTATTTTAATCTTCTAAAATATTCCCATCCTACACACGGACTGTGTTTTCATCCTCTACATCCAGTTTCATGAGCCATGAAGGCATTTTTCTATTCTAAAACTGAAATTATATTTTTTACGTTTCCAAAATTACATCATGGCCCACAGTGAAATTTCTGAAATTACTACCATGACCAAAATACTCAGATTTTCACTCTATTTTTATTTAAGATGTAATCTTCTCTGAAGAACAAATCAATAGTATTTAGTATTTGTTTTCCTGTTAATGTTTTGATATTTGTTTTTATTCAATGAATTAACATGGTTTTGCATTTTTTTAAATAATTCGTTTTAAATCCTTAGTTGAACTAATTTTCATTCAATTCATTAAATCATGATTTATCTCTTCAAACTCAATTTATCTTGTTCGGAATTGTTACTTTCTCTTGCTGAACTTGGGATCATCAACCCTGAATATTGTGATGCCTTTTCCCTTCTAAGTGCAGTCCTGCTAATATATAAAAAGTTTCAGGACCAGTAATTCTTGTCATATAGGAAAGCACCAACCTCTCTAGGAATTTATAAAGATAGTCCTCAATTTACAACAATTTGTTCAGTTACCTTTCAAAGTTACAATGGCATTGAAAAAGTGACATTACCATTTTTCACACTTACGATCTTTGCAGCATCCCATGGTCATGTGATCAAAATTCAGATGCTTGGCAACTGGTTCATATTTATGACAATTGCAGTGTCTTGGGGTCATATGATCTTTTGCAACCTTCTGACAAGTCAACCTTGAAGCCAGATACACTTAACTGTGTTACTAACTTAACAAGTGCAATGATTCACTTAACAATTGTGTCAAGAAAGGTTGTAAAATGGAGCAAAACTCACTTAACAAATATCTTAGCATAAATTTAGGCTCAGTTGTGGTCATAAATTGAGGACTAGTTGTAGTAACTTCCTTGTAAGTTGGTACATTCAGATTTCTAGGCTGCAAATTAATTCAACTGCCTATGCTCACCCTATTATGAGCTATCCAAACCCCAAATGCATTTGGTAAGCGTATTCAGTATGGATATGTTGGATATAGATGTAGTGCTAAACCAGAGGTGGTATTCAGCAGGTTCTGACCAGTTCTGGAGAACCGGTAGCGGAAATTTTGAGTAGTTTGGAGAACCAGTAAATACCACCTCTGCCTGGCCATCTATTCTCTGCCTCCAGATTCCCAGTTGATTGGGAGAAAATGGGGATTTTACAGTATCCTTCCCCTGCCACACCCACCAAGCCATGCCACACCCACCAAACCGGTAGTAAAAAATTTGAATTCCATCATTGTGCTACACCACTTCCTTCTTTGTGGTTAAAGGGCATATTAAGAGTTAAAGGACATGCTGAAGAGTAGTGTACTCTAAAAAGATGACCGAAGCCAATCTTCCACCCAATTAAAAATTAATTCTAGTAGCACCTTTTCCAACTTATTTTATTAGAGTAAGCTTTCAGAGTGAGCTTCATCACACACATAAACCCTCACTCCCTTCATGATTGGTTAATAAATCAGAATCTGTAGAGGGGTCAGGTCTATGTATTCATCTATCTAAATTTGAGGACCCTGGACCATTTTGTCTTTTTAATTGGGCCACTTGAACCGAAGGCAAAACTTTGGGAGGAAACCAGTGACTATTCCAAATGGTTTGTCATGAAATTCAGCATCAAATCACACAAAAAGGGGGCAGATCAGGCCAGGGGCTCTAAGAGCAATTAACTACCGGTAACTGCATGTGGGTTTAGAAGAGACAGTCCGGGCATTTATGACACACACACCCTCAGGCTATTTAATTGCGCGGGGCTCGGCCTCAAACCCAGGTCCAAACGGCCTGGGGTTAGCCAGGAATCCCCCGTTCAGACGGGGCTCGATCTCCCTTTAATGCTGATCGGTTCTGACATTTCTCAACGAGCTGAGGAAACGCTTGCGGAGGTTTCCCCGAATCCTCCCCAAACATGGTGTGCCGTCCTTTTCTCCGATTGGAGGCAAGGAGGAATCTCGGCCGGGCTCCTCTCATCTTCGGCGGCCCCAATTAAGCGCCTTCACTCGGCCACCCCGGGACCAGCCTCAGGCGCTGCGAAGGCGACCGAGAAAGAGAAGCGGGGGGGGGGGGGCGTCTGTCACAGACGCGACCATTTCAGGCTTTGTTTCTTTCTCGCGAGGCGACGTGGAAGCGGAGCTCCGCGCTTTGTTAGTTTTGCCCGAACTTTGACAAAGCGACCCGAAGCTCCCACGCTAGGCAGGGCATGGAGTCATCGCGAGAAAGAGTCTTTCCCCGCCCCACGTCCGATTTTTTTTTAAAAAAAAAACAGAGCCTCTTGTTAAATTCTCCCCTCCTTCCCGCCCCCCCCCTCCTCCTCAGACCGCGCATCGCCAGAGCGGCTTTGTGTCTAGGCAGCAGAAGTGGCGAGGATCTCCCGACAGAGGGCGCCTCTCCCACACAAATTCCCAGCCCGTGCGCTACGTGCGGCTGGCGCTGCTTTCGCCCGCGGCTGTCCCAGAGCAGCCGCTTTCCTCTTCCGCAGCCCACGCTTTGGGCTCGTCTCATCCGCCGCTGGGGCGGGGCAGCCGGAGTTGCACGCAAGGGCGGCGGCGGCGGCGGCGGGCTGGGGGTTGGACTGTTATGGATACTGAAGTCGCTCCGGGGCTGGGTCGAGGAGTACGGATTCCCCGGGCTGTGGGCAGCTGCGGCCGTAGTGTGGCTGAGCTCTCTATTCCGACGTGGCCCTTGATTTCTCTCCGGCAGGAAAAAAATTTTCGCTTCAGAGCAGCCGGACGGATAGGAGAAAACACCTTGGGTTCCGGAGCCCGCTTTTCCTCCTTAGCTCCCAGCGGGCGACTTCCTTCGTTTTTGCCCCGGAGCAGAGTAGGGGGTGGGGATGGGGGGGTTGCAAGTCTTTGCAGCTGCTCCCTCCTGTGGCAAGAGAGGCAGACCAGGCTGGGCTCCCCTTCCCTTCGATATTTCCCGTTAGAGCACAATTTAATTAATTAATTAAATTTAATTAATTCAATTTATATGCCACTCCTTTCCGAAGACTCAGGGCGGCTCACAATACATCTTAAAAAATCATTATAAGAAAACATTTAAAAATTAAAAACATTAAAAACTCATTCACGCCATTCATGGCCGGATCTCGCCAGATCACAAGAGCAAGATCAACGGCCCCAGGCCTGCCGGAAGAACCAGGTCTTCACCGTTTTTCGGAAGGCCAATAGGGTGGGGATGGTCCGTACCTCAGAAGGTAACTGGTTCCAGAGAGCTGGGGCAGCCACAGAGAAGGCCCTCCCCCGCGGACCCGCCAGCCGGCATTGTTTAGCTGACAGGACCCGGAGGAGACCAACTCTGTGGGATCTTACCGGTCGCTGGGAGCTATGTGGCAGAAGGCGGCCCTGAGCCATGTAGGGCTTTAAAGGTAATAACCAACACCTTGAATTGTGACCGCAGACCAATAGGGAGCCAGTGCAGCTCATGGAGAATTGGTGTAATGTGGGTGTATCTAGATGCACCCACGACAGCTCACACGGCTGCGTTCTGGACCAACTGTAGTCTCCGAACACTTTTCAAGGGTAGCCCCATGTAGAGCGCGTTGCAATAATCTAACCGTGAGGTGACAAGGGCCTGAGTGACTGTGAGGAGAGCCTCCCGATCCAAGTAGGGTTGCAATTGGTGCACCAGGCGAACCTGTGCAAAGGTCCCCCTAGCCACAGCTGTCAGATGTTGCTCTAATCTTACATGTGAGTCTAGGAGGACACCCAAATTGCAAACCCGTTCTGAGGGGGACAATTTCTCCCCCCCCAGAATACAAGTGCAGCCGCCTGCCCGTCCACAGCCTATTTTTCTCTATCAGGCTAAACTGGCTGATGGTTGCCTGGGCTCTCGGCCTCTGGACCTCCTTGGAGAGGCCGATGCTCCGTCCTGCCTTTCCTCTGCAGGTGGGACAGGGGTGTCTCAAACCACCCTTTGCAGATGTGTCTCAACTTTTGTGAGTGCTGATACTCTCTGGTCAGTGTCACTGTAGTGGATATAAGTTGGGTGCCTTAGAATGCCATATTCCATAGCTGTTGTGTAGAGTCAGTAAGGTCCGCTTCCCATTGCCATCCACTTGTAGCAGAAAGTGGTTTGCAGTAGAGAGCATGCAGTGTGGAGCTTAATTTTTCTCCTGGCTGCTTTCTGGAGCTGTTCACTTTATAAATGAGCTTGACAGACAAGAGGCAGAAGGGGGAAGTTGCATGGAAAGATGTAAGCAACCCCCCTCCTTTTAATGGGCCTTGCAAGTCAAAAAATGGGATAAACATATTTTAAATAAATAGCAGAAATGTCTCCACTCAGATTGTTTGCAACAAAGGGTCCACTGGCTAGCTTGGCCTTTGTGTAGGAGGCATTGGCCTATCAACTGAGTTGTCCATATTGGGAAAAGTCTGTGTAGGTGTTAGCAGGGAATGAATCATTCCTAAAAAGGCGCTGCTTATCGTAGAAGCCTGCTTCGGATGTCTTGCCCTTTGAGCTCTAAAACTTTATTCTCAATTCATTCCTTCAGAATATCATTCCTGGCAGTTGCATTTGGGATGGGGAGAAGGAATTGCCTAAGAGATCATTTCCATCATCCCTGACCAAAGACAGTTTCCACCATCCTTGGAGAAAACCAGGAGGATGCACTTGGTATGAAATCAACATGAATGTGCACAGTTGATATATTGTTGGTGAGAAGAGGTTCAAGTTAATCATCAGATCAATTTCGTTGACTATTTTTTGACCTATGAAGAAATATGGAGCTTTGTGTTGTGAACTGGAATGGACCTTGAGTCAATTCTTGCTCAGCAGTGTCAATAGTGTAGGTTAAAATAGCCCAGCCTCATGTATTCCACCCTGGGAGTCTTGTAAGTAAACTGATTAATAACCTGGTCACTGATTGATAGTGGTGAAGAGGGTACTAAAAGATTTCCCAAATCTGTCTGGGCTCCCCAGTGCTGCCATCTGATTCCCAGAAAAATGTGTATCCATCCAAGTTTTTATTGTGCATGCAATTACTCTTCCTTATTCATGGAATTCTATTAGATCTCTAGATTAGGGGTCCCCAACCCCCGGTCTGTGGCATGCCAGAAACAAGGGAAGCCCCATCCATGGGATGCAGGCAGCATGCAAAACCACACCCCCTCTGGTCCATGGAGAAACCGCTTTCCATAGAACCGGTTCCTGGTGCCCAAAAGCTTGGGGGCCATTGTTCTAGATGACCTTATCTTCCAATTGTAACCCTCCTTTTTCATTTTTCCGTTTTGTTACCAAAAGCTGGCTAGGAGAAAGGGTAGAATTGCTGCATAATATATGGGATCCCTCTGTCTGGAAGCTCCCTGAATATGTCTTCAAAGCCTCATGCCCTAAAAATTGCTCTTTTCTGGCCTGTGTTCCTGGATCAGGTCCTTGGCATATGACTGAACTGTCCAAGCCAGCATTTTATTTGAATGCTGGGCATCATCCCAGGGCCTGTTTTGATCACAAGGTGTTCAGGTCAGCCTAGAAATTTGCATGGAAGGAAAGAGTGCTCCAAGAGATATGCAAAGTGCCTGATTTCCCTATGGCTGTTTGGTAGTAAAGTATCATTAGGAGTTTAATGCAATACTTCTAGATGGACTTCACTCCTGACAGCCATCTTCCGTCCTGAAGAAAGGACAGCCTTTGGAGCAGATTTCCTTCCTGAAGCTGTGAAACTCCTCAAATCCCAGATTCTGTTGTTCTGCCCTGATCTTCAGCCCCTTCTGTCAAAAGCCCCATTTTTTTCTTCCCTCCACCTCCCCATGTTCTGGTATATTTCTGCTTAGGCTGTTCTAGTGAGGGCATATAGATTCCGTTTGGAGAGATGGGAGAACTGCTTACAGGATAGCTCCATTTTCTGCAGGCCTATTTATAGACAAGGCATACATCAAAGGGCTCCGAACAGACAAGAATTCTGGAGGGGGGAGTGTTGTATCAGCTGCTGGGTAGATTCCTGTTCTCCCTCCCCCCCACCCTTGAATTACAACTGCTAAACAGGGTCAGCCTGCTGCCCACATCATGAGAGACAAGTATGTGGCTGGGAGCCCAGGATGCTTTGACAAAAGGTCTGGCAGTTTGTGTTCACAACACCTCTGATTAGGGAAGGCTATCTTGAAAGTTGGACCACAGGGGCAAGACATCTTAAAATGTTTCCATCCTGGTTTCTCCTGCAGAGGAATTTTTCACACACCTCCTTTCAGGATCAAGGGGTTAATCTGCCGTGGAAATCATCCTGATATGCTTGGGTTTCTTTTCCTCTTCAGCAGATCATTTTTGTTGTTGTTGTTGGGTGAACAACAAAGGAAGACACAGGACGATTCCAAGTGGAAGATGTTTTGTCTGAAACTCCTGCAAAATTCCAGGGAGATTGTCTGGGAGCCTCTGATTTCTGAACTGGGAGAGCTAGTTTGAAGTAGAGTTGAAGGCACCAGGCTAGAAACGGGGAGACCCTGTATTCTAGTCCCACCTTAAACACAAAGTCAGCTGGGTGACTTGGGCCAGTCAGTTTCTCTCAGCCCTGGGAAGGAGGCAATGGCAAACCTCCTTAAATCTTATTAAATCTTGCCAAGACATCACCAGGAGTCAAGCCTGACTTGAAAGCATTTTGTCCATGTGCACACATATGAGTGCACATGCCCCCCCCTTCCCATCCCCACGGATTTAAAGCTTCTCCCAATCTGTTTCCCTAGGGCCCTTGTGAGCAGAAAATAGCCACTTTTTATTCATTCCCAAAATACCAGAAGGCATGGTAGGAGGGAATTGGGATAAAGAACCATGATAGTTGAATAAAACAGATGATTTCCTTGCGTTGTGATTTCAACAAGAAAAATAACTCCCCATCATCGTCCCACTTCATATCAGGCCACTTGTCAATGTTTGGGCTGGCTGAAAGCTGATCTCAATAGGCAGGCCAACCTTCTCCCACTGTGTTTTTATTTTTAAAGTTACCCGGCCCACCATCATTCCGTCCTGGCCTGCTACTTAATGCTTTGGCCTCAGATGCGGGGCGCATGTGTGGAGGAAGGAAGGGCACCTGGCTCCCCAACAGATCCATTTCAGATACACTCCCATTCCAACATCACTACCATTCACACCTACAGGCAGGGGTGTGGATCCAGGGCTCATGGGTAGAGTGCTGACTCTGATATGACTCAGAGGGGTGGGATCTTTGGCACCACTCCTCCCTGCTAATCCTTTAATTGCCGATGAAGCCTGGACTTGCAGTGGAAGAACATGGGGTGGCTGTGGGGTGGAAAGGGGATTTTTCGCTGTGGGCCCTACAGATCACTCTGGGTTTCTGGGAAGGAGATTTTGCTTTCTCCTGAATAATGACTTTTGCTTCCCCAATGAGGAAATAAAGGCGTCTGGTCACCACCTATAAAAAGCTGAAACTTTTTGGGTTGGGTGGAACTTAATATTAATTCCATGAACATCTGTGTCTTGTTTTTTTTTATAACAAAAAGGCATTTGCTTTCTTTTAGGACTTCTTGGTGGTATCCCAGCCAAGAACCAAGAAGCTTAGCTTTGTGGAAATCCAGCAAGGTCAGCTAGGAACTGTTGCCTGCTGTGAACTGTAGTCTTATAACTCTCAGAAAGTGACAGGTGACACTTCACAGCAAAGGGATCACAGCCATTACCAACAGGTCTGTTTAAATGGCATAGCAAATCTAAATGTGGCAGCATTTACGGTTGCCCACTTTTTACTTGTTTTGTTCCTGTGCATTTAACACAGCAGAAAAATTCTCAGTGGACTCTGAATTCTCTAAATTTAATTCTTTCTCCAAAGCTCCCGCTCAAACATGATTTCCAACTATTTATCATTCCATTTGCTGAAATGCAACTATGTATTCCTTTCTGGCAGCCAAACCTTCGAGATTCTATGGCTGTAGCAGATTATTGTATAGATATGCTCAGCAAAATCACTCACACGTTTAGATTCGAATCAAATCCACCCCTTACAAATTAACGGTATATTGGAACATGAGATTCACACTTTCTGATCCTCCACTTTCATCTCTTTCTTCTTTTTATTTCACAGATAGAAGTGAAAAGCTCGCAGCAAGAAGTGAATTTGTCCACTATTCTTTATTTACAATACTGTACACACATTTTGAATTACCTGAAGAAAGCACAGAAGTCAGGATTTGCAAGGGAAGGTGTGATGTGGGAGATTTTCCAGCTCCCTATTCTCCCCTCCCTCATTCTTCCAGAGGTTTGAAGAAGAGTCTCCATTCTCTGCTGGCCCCCTTGCCAGCAGGCTTGCCAGGCTGTGATAGAGGAAAAAACGCAGGCAATCCAGTCCAATAGAGGCTGTGGAATTCGGGGCCGTCTCTTGAGTTGTTTAAGTGTGGAGGAACCACTGCCAGCCCCAGTTGCACGGAAGGGTCTGGGCGGGGGGAGGGAGGAGAAAGACCTGTGCTGGGCCCAATGTTGGGCTGCTGGTGAAACCTGGGCAGGACTCCTGTTCCTGCTGAACTGAGCCAGTTTTTCCAAAACAACTGAATATCAGCTCAGTAGGCACGGGAGGCTTGGGCCCCTATGGAGGAAACAGGACTTTGGTGTCCTGGGCCCAATCTCTCTCTTTGTTGTAATCAAGCAGGAACTCTTGGCCATTTCGAATCTTGGAGAAGGACCATGTCTGTGTTTTCCTTTCTGCTCAGTTGGTCCTCCTGGGATCCCCTCTTACTGAATGGACAGAGGAGAGAATGGACTCCAAGTGGCGGAACTTAGCCACTGTGAACATGGCTTCAAAAAACGCTGTTCACAAGTGAGCTAAGCCCTACCCTATGCAGTCTGAGGAATTCCCTCCTCCCGGCCCAATTATTCTCCTGTGCACACATGCGCTTGTCTCTGCAGTTGGTGGCTTGCCATGACGCCTTGCACTCTTCAGGTTCAGTTTATGGAGTTTCCATCCAGGTGGAGGAGCTTGCCAACAGTTGGAAATCCCTGGCAATGTGATTCTGAACATCAAGGTAAAATCACATCACCAGGAACCCCAGCAGGCAGCAGCAGCAGCAGCAGGAGGAAGGAGGAGCTGGGGGACACCATTGGCATCACTATAGAAAGAAAAAAGAAAAGGAGATTAAGACAGGATGGGTGTCTGGCTTCTATCTTGCAAACAGTCGGCAACCTGTAAAAAAGGAAAGGGACCTGAGATGCCCAGACAGACTGGCTATCTATCATTCAAAAGAATCCACCCTATTGTCTGAGGCAGCAACAAACACGAAAGGCCATTTTACAGACACCCCCCCCCCAAGTTTCTTCAACAACATTCCTATCTGAATACACATTTGAAAATTGCTGTACATCTATGCTGAAAGAAAGTTGTGTACTTTTAGGCAACTATATAGACTTAAGTTCCAGATTACATTAAAAGTGTTCCTGTGATTGACTTCTCTTTTAAAACTTTGCACAGCTAATACAGTTGGGGTTTAGGGAATCAGAATAAGCATCGGGTGGTTAGAAGGGAATTCAACACTCTATACAGCCTTCTAGACAACAATGTCCTGCTGTTATTTAAACCAATAGTGGGGTGGACTGTAGGGACTCCCAGCTACATATATTAAACTTTGCTTGGTCTGATCAGTTGCTGTTGGACAGCACTAGATTCAAGGAGGCCACAAAAGTACAACAAGCTATACTAGAAGCGGATGCTGATAGACTCTGACCTGGATTGCATCTCATGAAACAACACCCACCCCTCCCTAGAAGTCATCCTAACCTGAGAGCGAAAGGGTGCGTGTGCATATGTGGATAAATATGGACTGATTAACCTTACAACGGCTGAGAAAGTTACTGTCAGAGCAGTTTCGACTTGTTGGAGGGAGACTAAATTACATATTGGGCAACGAGAAAAGCAGAGACAGGTTCTGTGTGTCCCAAAGCCAGGAAGTGAGCCCACTGTGGAAAACTGGAAAAAGCAGTAGTGCTAATAAACTAGCAGGGAGAGCTTCCTCAAGAGACTTGGGCCATCTCTGAAAACTGGAAGTCCTCTCAGCAATGTTCTACCAGTAGAATAGCCTCCACCTTGGCCCAGTTTTATATCTCTTTCCAGGTGAAGGTGGAGCGATGATAACGACGGAGAGTCACATTGAAATTGATCAACTCTCTGATTTGTGTGTGTGAGACGGATCTGCAAGGGTTGGTTCCCAGACTGATTGAAGTCCTGGCAACCATTTTCCCCATGATTAGCGAAGAGACCCACTTTGTCCCTGGATCCTGGGCAGCTGTTAAAAATAACATTGTAAGGTCTCCACCCTGAGGTACAAAGGGACGCAGTGGTTCTAAATGAAAATGGTTCTGATGTTGACATTCTTCTAACTCCATCTCTTTCATCTCAAGGCGGCTTGCTACAAGATTCGTTTGCTACAGGATTTGCTTGCTCTTGAGGATCTTGCTTGGAAAATAATCACTATTGGTTTAGGCCAGGGGTCAGCAACCTGCGGCTCTGGAGCCACATGTGGCTCTTTCACCCTTCTGCTGTGGCTCCCTGTCACTCAAAATATGTGTCACAACCGCCAATGTACGACACCCGCCAGCATGCGATTTATTGAGCTTTTCAACCCCCGGTAGGCCAACCATGGATAAATCCAAGAAAAGAAAAGTTTCAAAAGAAAACAGAATGTTTAATTGAACTATATATGCTAGTTTTGTGGCCGCTCAGGAAATAGTCAGGCACGGGAAAAGTTTTGTGGTTCCTGGTGTTTTGTTTTCTGTGGGAAACGGGTCCAAATGGCTCATTTGAGTGTTTAAGGTTGCAGACCCCTGGTTTAGGCAATCTGGAAAACCCATCAGAAAGAACACACTGTCACCCCTGACATAATTTCAAAATACAATTATTTGGATGGAGGCAGTCCATGCTTTCAGCAGAGAACCACCAGACTTTTACACCTAGGGAAGGGGGATGCTAAGCAGTCCTCTTTTAAACTTAATTATAACATTTCTAAAGCGTTTGAGCTCAAAGTAGTTTTTCCTAGATTGGGAAGCAGCTCAGTTTTTAATAAAAAAAATAATGGATACAAATAGGATTTTCCAATCAGCCCTCTTTATTTTGGCCGGCACCTGTCCTTGCCAGAATAATGAACAGTTAAGTCTATGAAAATTGCACTCCCAACAGTCAATATATTGCCCATTTTAAATATGAGAACAGTTGTGTGCCCTATTAAACTATATGTTCTCTATTTCAGGAATAATTTAAAAGTAGATTATAATTTACTGGTAATGATTTGTAGTAGTGGTTCAGGCTTTTCAATGATTGGAAGAGCAAGCTAGTTCATTTACACTTACGTTTTTCTCTGCGCCTTGGTGTTTTTAATAGGCCTGTGCAATGCTTCCAATCAAATTTGGAGGAGGTACTTCAGAAGCCGGGGCTGCTTAAACAAGCTGCATGCAAAGGCAGTGCTCAGGCTTTCTAAAACCACTTTTTCTGAATTGACTCTGAAGCATTCCACAGACCTAATTCCTGACATATAACTTAAGAATATTAACTGGATGCTTCTGAATTCTACTCCACTGTGTCTCCGGAAGCTCTTTCTGCTTTCTCTGAGCGTAGAAGACATTTGTCTCTGTCAGGTGAACTCTTGATTTGGATCTCCTTTCAGCCATGATTTTGCACATGTACATGAAGGTGGATTTCTTTGTTATAGGGCAGAGGTGTCAAACTCGTGTTGTTACGGCGGTGTCACGTGATGAATTGGGACTTCCCCCCCCTCACTAAACGGTGGGGGCGGGGCCAGCACGTGATGCATCCGGCACCCCTGTTATAGGGAAAGGATAGGTAAATGCCCTGGGGCTGTACAAGTAGTCCTCAACTTACGACCACAATTGAGCCCAAAATTTCTGTTGCTAGGTGAATGTTAAGTAAATGTGCCCCATTTTACAACCTTTCTGGCCACAGATGTTAAATGAATCACTGGCAGTGGTGAAGTGAATCTGGCTTCCCCATTGAAAAGGTGATCGCATGAGCCCAGGATGCTGCAACCATCATAAATATGAACCAATTGCCTCGGGTCCAAATTTTGATCACATGACCATGGGGATGCTGCAATGGTTAAAGTGTGAAAAATGATCATAAGTCACTTTCCTCAGTGCCATAACTTTGGTCACTAAGCAAATTGTAAGTCAAAGACTACCTGATACTATATATCTATATACTATACTACTATCTGGAATGAGCTCCCCCTGGAGATACGGAGGATCCCGGATCTGTGCACCTTCCGCCGCGCTGTGAAGACCTTTTTATTCCATCAGGCGGGCTTGGCCTAATCTCTTCCCTTTTTTAAATATCTAAATTTTAATCTGTTTTTAAATTATTGGGGTTTTAATCTGTCTGGGCCAAAATGACTTAATTTGATTTTATCTGGTTTTTAAATTTTTGGTATCCATGTATTTTATTGTTGGCTGTTCACCGCCCTGAGTCCTTCGGGAGTAGGGCGGTATACAAATCAAACTAAACTAAACTAAACTAAAGGTTGCCTGCTTTTAGGGCAATATGAAAAGTGAAAGCACCAGGCTGCATAAGCATCCAGCTGATGTAGGTAATGTTATCCACACTAAGACCCATGCAATTCCATTTCTAATAATTTCTAAATGTAAATATGAAGTATTAGCATTTTCTGCACACCTGTCTCCTTCTCTGCTCACTGATAAATATTAAAATGCTAACAGAGATGAGAAAGAGAATAAATGAATGAATAAACGAACGAACGAATGAATGAATGAAAAGTGCAACCGACTACCCTCTTCAAAGTACACCAACATGACATTTAAGAAAGGAAATAACTGCAACATGACAATTTTAATTATTAGAAAGACCACTTCATCTGTGTGCAGCATAGTTTGGAAATTATTTTTGTTTTGTAATTCCCAAATTTTGAGGGAGAAAAGTTTGGCACCTTGCATATCCTCCACCTCTCTCTAAATACCAAGTGTTGTATATCTTGATGAATTCAATAGGACATAACGTATATTTTAGCAAGCTTGACATCATTGTTACATCCATGTAGCTTACACAAGATGGTCCCCACTGTCATGTTCTACAGAAATCCTGATGCAATTCAACACTACAAGAGGGAACACTAAGGAAATTAACGTCTCCTTGCTATTCTTGGGGGAGCATCAATGCTGAGCCAACTGCCTGCAGTAAAGCCCACTCAGAAATACAGAAAATAGCAAAGGGGGGGGGGTTCCACAGAAAAGAAGCATCAAAGAAGGTGGGGGGAAAAGGTCTCTCAGAGAGCTTCCTTAACCCTCCTTGTTCCTTAGCAATAATGCTGAATAACATAGCAGGAGAGGTTAGTAAGTGAAATGAGACTCACCTGAAGTGGGGCAGGTTCAGGCTTTGAGATATGCCAGTACTGCTCCTATGCCCAGTTCCTCTGCAGAAGAGGGAAGGTGAGCATTTGCTCCGTTCCTTCTTCGCTTGTGAATTTGTCTCCCAGACTGTGGGAGGCTAGCACAGGAATTGGGGAGGTGGGCCCTGCCTCTCTCGGCCCACCACTCCAGCTTAACCGGATAGTGGGTCAAGGGCAAGCAGCATATTCCTGATCAGTTAAAAGCAACCCTAAAAATAGAGGCTTCAAAAGCACCAAGACTGTGTGGCAGCTCCGGAAACTCGCTTCCTAGCTGGGTGGGGCTCAGAGGGTTCAACACATTTACCAGCGTGAATGTTTCCTCCAAGGCTTCTGTCTCCCTGCGGCTGCGGCTGCTTCTAGTTCAGTCTGTACAGAGATGGATCCTCCTGTAGCATCAATCTAGGCATGGCACAACCTGGGAGAGAAAAATGCCCCTCAATTGGGTTGAGCAAAGCTTGTGTACCAGGTCAGCAGTCTGTTGAACAGGCTGCCATGCATGGTGAGAAGTGCTCCAGGTGTTTCTGAAGTACTCCAGGTGAGGCTATCAATAGGAGCAATGCTGGAGGAGGCACTGAGTTTGCTTTCACTGATTCAGCTAAATGAGAAACTTTCCAAACCAAAACCTCTGTGATATTTGAGCTAGATGAGGCCAGGAGCACAAAGAAGGTTGCAAAACCACAGCCTCTTCAAAGTTACACAATGTTCTCGTTCCACTATAATTTCCCATCATATCCCTGCCTGTGACTTCCTCTTTATTGATTCTATTACCAACGCAACCTCTGATTTAAGACAGGGCACAATCAACTGAAAATACAGGGTGCACTCTGTGGAATAAGCAGGCAGTGCCTACTGCCCCCACTTCCAAGGCAGAGCCTCTAATAGAGCCCAGAATCACACTCATAATTTATTTTCCAGTTCTCAGGCATTTTGGCTTTGTGTCAAGAGAATTCCATAGTTAGGACTTCAATCTCCAATCCGGTCTGCAGATTTTAGGATTGCATCCTGCTGTGGGCAGATGGAATGTGTGTGTGTGTGTGTG